GCCCGTGGCGGTTCGGAGCTAGACCGTGAGGCAGCGGGCGACTGGCGAGGTAGGTCCCCTGCGGTCCAGCGAAAGCGCGGGTGAGAGATGGAATGATCCGCTGGGTGCGAGCCTGGGATGGGGTTCCGGAACGGGCAGCCTCGAAAGGATGGACAGCCCAGCCATCCGCAATGGGATGCAGGGAGCAGAGTGAAATCTGAGAATAGAGGCCGGGAAGTAAATGACTTTGCTGTGAGTCCATTATTTAAAGTTAAGCCAAAAGGTTCTTGTGTATCAGTGATTGGTAAGAGAAGTACTTGCCAGAATAGTGAGTGATGCACTGGGGTTGGTGTGTGTGTGTGTGGGGGGGGGAACTGGGGTGCTTTAAATATTGTCTTGCTCCATGGTGTTAACACAGGTGTAAAACTTCTATGTAAAAATTAAACTTTGTGTACTTTAAGGAAGTCATTCTTAAATTTAGCAAAATTTTTTAAAAAGCAGTAACATGTTTTTGTTTAAAGGTGGGGGCCCACCCACGGAGAAATTAGCGACCAAAAGAGCACATCTATTTCCATGTATGGGGGAAAATACTAGTGAAACTTGCCTTTCCTGATTTTTATAATTTGCGGTTTTATCTGATTTTAGAACGAAACTTTTTATTTCTCCAGAAAAGAACATGGACAAGTTAAGAAGCTGTTAATGTTCTCAGGGGTGATTAAGTTATATTCCTGGTGTTCAGTTACATTTCAAGGTTGCGTGAGAGGGATAGAGTTGTACAATCCAGGTTGCTCTGCCTCTGGGATAAAATTATGCTTTCCTTTTGTTTTAAGTAGAGAACTGCTTAGTGACATCTCAAGCCCAAAATTTCAACTGGACATGGAGATAAAAAACAATTCATTGCTTTTCTGTACCCAATATCAGATACTTCCTGCTAACCTCTCAAAAAACTCTGAGAGCCTTGCAAAAGTCATTCGTTAACAAATATTCACTGAGAAGTGAATTTATATTCCCAATTACAAGGGATGTGCCTTCTTAAATTCTAAGCACATCAAAGCCAAAATTTGCATTAAAATGAACTTTTCCTTTTTATGTTTTTATGCTTTGTTTGCTATTCTCAAGAATAAATCATTAAGTTAGAACCACCAATAATAGCATACTAATATAATTCAAACTACTGTATAGAAATTTTATAAATAAAAAAGCAAGATAGTTATTAACTACAGAATAAAAAAGTTATACAACAAAGTAAAAGTAATTGCAGAATGCTAAGCTGTGGGAAGTATTTAATGAGTCAGAACAATGTGTACTCTGCATATTTAATAAAAAATCTGCTACTGAAAAGATAGGGAAAATGAGAAGGGTGTGTGTGTGTGTGTGTGTGTGTGTGTGTGTGTGTGTACGTGCGTGTTGGGAAGTTGAAAGAGGGCTAACTGCTTATCTTCTCTAGAAGCTACCTAGAAATGAAAAATCAAGAAGATACAAAATAAACTTGTTATTTTTGAGATATAGAGTTAAATTTCAAGACTTAGCTATAAAAGTTAAAGATGGTTGGGAATGGGAGCTATTATTTTCATAACTGTTGAATTTTAAAATTGTATGCATTGTAACATTGATTAAAAAAACAGAAGTAAGCATTTAAAAATACGTGGTATATTTACACCATGAAATACTATGCAGCTCTTATAAAGAAGGATCTCTTACCCTTTGGAGGGACTTGGAGAGTATTGTGCTAAGGGAAATAAGCCAGTCAGAGAAAGACAAGTACCACATGATCTGACTCATATATAGAATCTAATGAACAGAATAAACTGATGAACAAAATAGATCCACATACGTAGAAGCATGAAACAGACTGATAAATCTCAGAGGGAGGTGGGGGAGATTAATTAAAGAACTTATATTCATATAAGCATAACCCATGGACATAGACTATAGTGTGGTAAAAGCCTAGAGGTTTCTGGGCTGGGTGGAGGGGGGCCAATGAGGGGGGGAAGGGGGACATCTGTAATACTTTCAACAACAAAGATAAATTTTTTACAAATTTTTAAATTAAAGAGTAACTGAGATGTTAGAAAAAATTATCTTAAGTTTATAAAAGTTATAAAGTATGAAATGCCTGTTTGTTTTTTTCTCCTCTCCTTTTCTTAACTTAAAACCTTTTACTCTAATGTTAAGATGTAATTCAATTTTTGTATGGCTTTTCTTGTGATGTTGAAATATTTTTTAAGAACCATACTTCTGAGGAGAATAGTTTTTTTATTTCATTCTTCAAGAGAATTGCAGTGCCCTTAAATGTCAACATTGCAAATATTTCCCACTTAGGCATTAGAGACATCTGCTTGTAAAGCAAAGGTACCCACGAAACTATGGATGATACAAGAACTTCACTTGATGTTAAAGAGTACCCCGATACTGAGGTACAGAAAAACCGAATACTAACTCTGGAAGACTGGCAAGAAAAGTGGGTGGAGCGCAAAATCACATTTCATCAAGAACAAGGACACCAGTAAGAAATGTTTGGTGTATAACCGAGAAATGCTCGATCAGAGACTGACTTTGGCAACAGAAATAATAACATAGGCACACATTATTTGACTGATTTTAAGATGCACATTTTAGCATCTCTAAAAACAGAACCAATCTATGTCATGTCATAGGTGATTAGCCATGTTTCCTCTTCCCCCAGAGTATAAATAATGGTGTGACTTACAATTGAAGGCATCTTAGATTTATGAAATATGGTTTTCTTTTTTAAGCCCTTGTAGCATCTATATATTGGACATGTGTGCTTATACATACAGCAGATGCTCAAGTGACATTAATGCCTATATCTCTTTATACTGAGAAGTGGTGGTGTTCTTACTTTGCTTTCTAATAACGTGTTCAAATGTTAAAGTATTATCTATATAGGGGAAGAAAAGTTGAAAGAAATTAGCAAGTGAGCCAGGATGTTGAGCCACGTGTTAGTAGCAATAGTGGGCTTCCAAGAAGGGACAATAAATCTTAGGCCAGTGCTGAGTCAAGTGGTCATGTCAGATATTCCTTGTTCCAGGCAGTCATCTGCCCTCCCAGGGGACATTTTTATTATTATTAACTAGAGGCCCGATGCACAAAAACTTGTGCACTCGGGGGGGAGGGGGGCCCTCAGCCCGACCTGTGCCCTCTCGCAGTCTGGAACCCTTGGGGGATGTCCACCTGCTGGCTTAAGCCAGCTCCCCAGGGGATTGGGCCTAAGCTGGCAGTCAGACATCCCTCTGGGAGACCCCGGGGGATGTCCACTTGCCAGCGGGGAGCAGGCCTAAGCTGCAGTCGCACATCCTTAGCGCTGCTGAGGAAGCGGGAGAGGTTCCTACCACCACCACTGTGCTGGCAGCCGTCAGCCTGGCTTGTGGCTGAGCAGAGCTCCTCCTATGGGAGCGCACTGACCACCAGGGGGCAGCTCCTGCATTGAGCATCTGCCCCCTGGTGGTCATTGTGTGTCATAGTGACCAGTCATTCCCAGTCGTTCTGCTGTTAGGATCAATTTGCATATTACCCTTTTATTATATAGGATTGCATTTGCACACCGTGGGTAATTGGGGCAACATCCCAGAATCATTGTATGGGTTATCTCTGTCATGTGGATGGCCTTAAAAGAGCCACATCTCTACAGAGGAATTAACTACAAGAATAACTATAACTCTTCAGAGCTCCTTCTGAGACCTGAGCACACATTTAGAGAGCGTGAAAAGCTCAGTGTACCCAAGGGCTCCCCCACATCTCACACACACATGTAAACACATACACAGATACCTTTGAGAGAGTAATAAAGAAATTTCAAAACATCAACCAAAGAAATTTGTATTTTATTTTTAACTAGAGGCCCGATGCATGAAATTCATGCAAGAGTAGGCCTGCCTTCCCCCTGCTGCTGGCACCAGCTTCTCTCTGGCACCCGGGACCTGGGCTTCCCTCACAGCCCCAGCTTTGTCTGGAAGGTTGCCCGAAAGGACCTCCAGTCTAGTTAGCATATTACACTTTTATTATTATAGATTATTAATCAAGACAGCCCCATATTTAAGTCACATTAACCACTCATATGTTACTGAGCAAGCTACTTCGCCTTCCTATTCCTTTTTACGTCAACTGGAGATTATAATAATGCTATCTACTTTGTAAAGTTGGGAATAGTGAGGTAATACATGAAAAGTACTTAGCGTCATACAGTTGTAGTCCTTTCCTCTGCATTGGCTAATTTTTAAAACTTTGTTTTTCTCCCCAGGCTATTAAAGAAGCATTTGGATGCTTTCCTTAAAGGCGAGAGTGGACTGAGGGTATTTTTCCCTCTTTGTGGGAAAGCAGTTGAGATGAAATGGTAAGAGCAGATATGCATTAACACACTTTCTTATCTTGGTGAAAAGTACTTGTAGCTGAGAGCATTTGTAAAATGCCTGCTATAGCTTAACTGTGGCCATGAAATTGACGACATTTAAACTATATTATTAGACTTGATCCTAACCAAGTCAGTTCAGATGACTGAACCAGAAAAAAGAATTACTTTGGAAACTACCTGCCTGAAAATTATTAACTCTATAAATAGATTGTCTTATTGCCAAGTCATAAGTGATAAGAACAATCTAGAGCAGTGATGGCGAACCTTTTGAGCTCGGCGTGTCAGCATTTTGAAAAACCCTAACTTAACTCTGGTGCCGTGTCACATATAGAAATTTTTTGATATTTGCAACCATAGTAAAACAAAGACTTATATTTTTGATATTTATTTTATATATTTAAATGCCATTTAACAAAGAAAAAGCAACCAAAAAAATGAGTTCGCGTGTCACCTCTGACACGTGTGTCATAGGTTCGCCAGAGTGACTCCCACCGACAGAGTTCTGGGAAGTGGCAGCAGCCACCACAGCAGTAGAAGCAGCAATTTATCTGTGTGCAGACCCAATATTAGAAGAAGATGCTAATTAAAGTGAAGACGCTCACCAGAAAGGAGATTGAGGTTGACATTGAACCCACAGATATGGTGGAATGAATCAAGGAACGTGTGAAAGAGAAAGAGGGAACCCTCAACCACCCCCCACTCCCATCTACAGTGGTCACTGTAGATGAGCTGCTGCTGCTGCTGCGATGATGAGAAGACTACCCTCATAGGATTTTATAATCAGTAGCTGATTGTAAAATCCTAGGTGGTTCAGTCCTCCACCTGGTGTTGGGCTCTAAGAGGAGGAGGTGGCTTTAGGCAGTGATGGACCCTCTCTCCATTTTACCTGCTTGCCCTGTCTCTCGTAATGAGGCACCATATATCCTGCCATTCTCTGGGGCTCCAGAGCCACTGCCCCCTCTTCTGGATGCCCAGTCTTGTGTGTCTATGGGTAGGAGACCTTGAGGACCCCAGGATGGCCCCTGTCCCAAATGGCCCCTGCTGGCTATTGGGTTTTAGTTTGCAGTCCTGTGTACTTCCCTCTCTGATGGCTGTGTCCCTGCCCTGGTTGTCAACAAGCAGAGACAAGATTGGTATGATGAAACAGACAATTAGATGTGATCGTTAAATATTTTAGGTTTAAAATCACTTATGATAATACCAGAACTAAATTGTATATAATTGCATAGAAATTATTATACTAGAGGTTTTTCATTTATCTTACTAATTTGTAGATTGAGGTCTATACAGATGCCAGATTTGAATAAACTATGACTTGAGGCCCAAAAAGCATTAAAAAAATGTTTAAGACATTTTCTTAGGGTTTTTTAAAATATATTTTTATTGATTTCAGAGAGGAAGAGAGAGAGAGAAACATCAATGATGAGAGAATCATTGACTGGCTGCCTCCTGCATGTCCCACACTGGGGACTGAGGCCACAATGCAGGCATGTGCCCTGACCAGGAATTGAACCGTGACCTTCTCCTGGCTCATAGGTGGATGCTCAACCACTGAGCCACACCGGCTGGGCTTAGGTGTGTTTTTTTTAAGGGCAATATCTATAATAATAAAAGCATAATATGCAAATCAACCAAACAGCAAAATGTCCGTCCAGACAGCCTTCCAGACGACCATGCTATGACATGCTCTGGCACTAGGCCAGCCAACGTGGATGTGATGCAATTGGTTGGGGGGCCCTGCCATCACCCCACAATCGTCCCGCAGAGGGAGGCCCAAGACACCCCTCTGCAGGACGATTGATGGGGTGGCGGCCCAGACCACCGGCCGGTGGGGCAATTGATCAGGAGGCAGGGGCTCTGTGATCGCTCCAAAGAGGGAGGCCCAGTCCACCCTCTGCATGGCAATTGATCACAGAGCCCCTGCCCATTTGGCCCGCAATCGATTGCCCCACAGATGGAGGCCCAGGCCACCAGCCAGCAACGCTGTGGCAGGTGTGGGGGCCAGCCAACAATCACCCCACCGAGGGAGGCCCAGGCCAGCCAAGGGATTGGGACCAGTGGTGGAGGAGGGAGGGCAGCAATGCACAAATGGGAAGCAGTGGCAGCAGCGGGGGCAGGGCCAGCTGCTGGCAGCGAGGGGAAGGAAAGCCCCGATAGGTCCTGATCACCAGCCAGGCCTAGGGAGCCCACCTGAGGAGTTCTGGATAGGGAGAGGGTACAGGCTAGGCTAAGAGAACCCCCCCCCAGTGCATGAATTTTGTGCACCAGGCCTCTAGTATTCCAATGTTATCCAGCCTATACCAGTCTATAGTAAGCAGTGTTTCATTTTTCCATATGTTGAATGGAAATAAAAATTCATGCAGCTGGTTTAGACTCTTTTGTTTATATAACTTCAAAAAATGCATGAAAAATATAAAAGAAATATTCCCTATACATTAACTTACAAACTTCCTAGGAAATATGAAAGACACATTATTAAGATGTTTATTTTAGAACTATAAACAGTTCATGCTCTGACCACATAGAAAGTGTGTAGTCTTATGTGGGTAATAGGTACAGTGACTTCTGCTCTACCTTGTATTTAAAAAATGTGAATTTTGTTCAACTCCATTGATATATGGGGGAATAATTTGAGCATGACATGAATTTTACATTTGTTTAGTCTGCAAGAAGCATGAAGTGAAAGCAGATAACTCTGCCCAATGGAACTAAGCTGTGTATGAGTAGGCAAAACAAACACAGGCACACACCTCAAAGGCCTCCCAGAGGCCTCAGTTCATCCTGTGTGCTGTGAGTCAGTCCCATCCACAGCTAGAGTTAGGACTTTAAACTCGATTCCCAATAATCCTCTGTCCATCACTTCACAATAACTCAAAAGCTGTAGCCCTTCCAACGCCCAGTTCTACAAGTAAACGTCTGGTCTTTCTCAAGGTGTAAAGTGCCATGTTGTAGTATTTGTATATTATATAACCATTTAACATGTGTACACTGTGCCAAATTTCTACTAGTTTTCTGTCTTTTTCCACTGACAAAGGTTTTTTCTTCTTATGTAATGTTTACCCAGTTTATTTCTAAATATTGGTTCACAGAGATAAGTTATAGCAAATACTTAACAACTTTTTTAAACATTATTTTTAAGTTAAGGAATAATCCTGGGGGGAGAGGGGAGGCAGCTGGTTATCAATACTTGTTTTCAGAATGAGATGGGAGCATCTTTCCCCTGCCGTGTGCTTTGTGTTTGATATCATAATGCTTGGGTTAGAACCAGACAATTCAGCACAAAGCCTTGAGTGTAAATTGTTGGTATCAAAACATCTCACTTGGTTTAATCTTTTTTAAGTAGGGGCAAGAGGGAGATGACTGTGTCCCAAAAGAAAGGGAGTCTGCAATGAGGATTTACAAACACTTTGAAAGTTTATAACCTCATCAGAAACTGCCTTAAGCCACACTCCTGACCTTATAGATGAGTAACAAAAAAAATGAAATAGATTCTTGGGAATTAAGCCATGTTACTTTAATTTGCTACTTTTTTCAGCATTCTGTGCATCTTAAAAACTGTTATTGGGGGAATCATTTTCTGGCAGAATATCTTTGTCAAACAAAATTATTGGCCTTGTGGGAGCTGAAGTCAGTCACCTTTTTGGTGAATTTAAGTGGATTTTGGTGAGCTTGAAGTTCTATATTTCCTTAAGGATAGTTTTTAAACTCCCAGAGAAAATCCACTCTTCAGATGCAAAAACTCATCTTTAGGGTAAAGAGTTAAGGGTCCAGAGGTTATAACAGTTCATGAGGTCAGAGGGAGCCAGCCTGGCACCTGGACCATAGCTGACAGATTCCAACAGAAAGTGTATTTAAATTCTCCTATTGACAGTACTGAGCAGGGGAGAGGGTAGCGTTGGGTTAGTAAGATAACGGAATACTGTTTTTTAACCAGTGGGTCTGGGGGAGAGTGCCTGGAGCAAACAAAGTAACTGTTCCCTTTTTTGAAACAAAACTAAAACCTGAAAATATTTTTTTGTTCAGTAAAAATGGGGTAGAATTTTATTGTTCCCTAGCCATATGGGACCATTTCCACTGAGAAGTGAACAGTGGGGACTCAAAATTTTGAAGAAATTTGAAGAAAGGGAAAATTGGCTTTCTGTTACAATTGGCAAGTGTTCCAATGGGGCTTTGTTTTGGTCAGCAGGTATCGTGTTGTGTGTGCACATGTGGACCAGTGTCTCTGCTGAGTTTATAAAGTTCAGAAAAGATGGTTGATAAAATGTTGATTTTTGTTAATTTATCTCAGTGAAAACTCACTGGAACTCCAATAAACAAATACATACCTACATACATGCATACATAAATGCATAAATGTATAATCGACATACATTACGTTAGTTTCAGGTGTACAGCACAATGATTTGATATTTGTAGGTACTGCAAAAGGATCACCACAATAAGTCTTGTTAACATCTGTCACAATACATAGTTATAATTTTTTTTCTTCTGACAAGAACTTTTAAGATCTACTCTTAGCAACTTTCAAATACAGGGTGGGGCAATAGTGGGTTTAAGCTGTGAGTGTGCAGTTTATTCTTGAATTATTATTAATTATTGTATTATTTTCCATAGGAACAACTGAAAACCTATTTTTGCCCCACCCTGTATGCAATACAGTATTAGTATCTATATCCTCGTGCTGTACATTACATCCCCATGACTTATTTATTTTATAACTGGAAGTTTGTACTTTTTGACCCCCTTCACCCATGTTGCCCAGCCCCCAACCCCAGCCTCTGGCAACCATCAATCTGCTCTCTTTATCTATTAATTAATTTGTTATTTTATTTTATTTTTAGATTTCACATATGAATGAAATCATATGGTATTTGTCTTTCTCTTCTGACTTATTCAATTAGCATAATGCCCTCAAGGCTCACCCAGGTTGTCACAAATGGCAACGCTTTGTTCTTTTTTTATAGCTGAATAATAGTACATTATGACAAAGTTTTTAATGTTGCACCCCAACCCTTATCTTCTCCATGAGCCTTGTGATTTTTATTGCATGATTTTGCATAGTGCAGTGATTTCTAGGTAGGCATATGTTGCATTATCGCAGAACTGACTGTGTGTGTGTTTAATTTAATTTGGCATAAAGTCAATACTTTGCCTAGGTATTTTGTGCCACTGGTCGTGTTTTCTCTGGAGTGCAGAATTCCAAGTCTGTGAGTTCTGTAATTATATAGCTTACCAGGAAAATTCTAGTTATTTGCATATGATAATTAAGTAAATTTCTGGGTAGAATGTATTGTAAATGGAAATTATAAGATTGTAAGTAAATGAAAATTATAAGATTTTTTATAGAAAAGATTTTTTCTAGAGCCATAGGCTCCAGTACCATAGCTACTGGCCGCTTGTGGCTATTTAAATGTAAACTAGATCACACTGGCCACGTCCCAGGCGTTCGACAGCCAGTGTGGTTGGTGGCTGCTGGCCTGGACGGCGTCGGTCCAGACACGTCCATCGTCACTGAAGGTGGTAATGGACAGAGCCGATTTAGAGAAATTGAAAAGTATTTTTAATCCATAGGATGCTTTTAAATCAGAAACTCTCCTAATAAAGTCCAGTTGTAGTAAATCAACACTTTAAGGAATAATTTTCCAAAATTACAAATTATTTTCCTGAAGTCATATAAATGAATTTTTCAGAATTCCATATAACATATGGTTTGAAAATATATAGATTCACTTTCTGTGGATCTATATGTTCTATGAAACCCTTGGAACCTGAATGCATATAAATCCCTTAAAGTTAAGGCAAATATGTGCTTATTGGGCATATCCTTTTATTTAGTACTATATTTAAAGTAAACACTTAAGTGTAAATATATGGTTTTATGCAGGTTTGCAGATCGGGGACACAGTGTAGTCGGTGTGGAAATCAGTGAACTTGGGATACGGGAATTTTTTACAGAGCAGAATCTTTCTTACTCAGAAGAACCAATCAAGGAAATTCCTGGAGCCAAAGTATTCAAGGTTTGTTTTGTTTTTTCGTAAATAATTATTTCCATACCCCCACAAAAATGTTTTTTCAATATGAATGAGAATACTATGTAAGTGTACATAAGATTCACTTATAAATTAAGGAGCTAGGGCTTAAAAAGATTGATGGATAGCCCAGCAGCATGGTTTAGGCGTTGAGCGTCAACCTATGGAACAGGTCATGGTTTGATTCCTGATCAGGGCACATGCCTGGGTTACAGGCTCGATCCCCAGTGTGGGGCATGCAGGAGGCAGCCAATCAATGATTCTCTCTGATTATTGATTTTATTTATTTTTAAAGACAGAGTAAGGCAAAGGGAGAGAGAGCGAAACGTCAATTCGTAGCCTCCAGTGTGCACTCCAACTGGGGATCAAACCCACAAAACTGGGTATGTGCCCTGACCTCGAATCAAACTGGTGACCTTTCGGTGCACAGGATGATGGTCAACCAATTGAGCCACACCAGCCAGGGCCTATATTATTTTTTAAATTTACAAATTGTCATTTCTGAAACCTGTCTTGTGCCACACCCTGCATGAGACATTGAGAAGATAATACAGTCCCTGCCCTAAAGAATCCTTTAGCTTAGAAGAGAAAAGAGAAACGCAGAGAAAGCTGTCATAAGTGGAGTTATGTGTAATGGCATGGGTATTAAGGGAACAGAGAGGAAAATTACGAAGCCCAGCCTAGGGGAGCTTCCTGAATGAAGCATGGTGACTGACAGGGCTGGGACAGGCAGGGTGTCACATGCATGGTCTCAGATGCCCTATGAAGCTGGTACCTTCAGACTGTGCAGCAAAGTTTTATTTTATTATTATTATTTTTTAAAATATCAGGTTTAGGACTTGCAGGGTCCCCTCACCCCCAAGTTGTTGGTTTTTTTTTTATTTTTAGGGAGAGGGGAAGGGAGAAGGATAGAGAGATAGAAAGAAAGATTGATGAGAGAGGATCATCATTGATTGGCTGCCTTTTGCACCCCCCACACTGGGGATTAAGCCCACAACTCAGGCACGTACCCTGACCAGGAATCAAACCAGTGACTTCTTGGTGCATGGGTCGATGGTCAACCACTGAGCCACACCAGTGGGACATGTGCAGCAAGGTTTAAGTGGGAAGGTGACAAGGCCAGATTTTCCTTTGAGTCAACAGACCCTTGTGGCCTCAAGGGCAGTACATTTGAAGGGAAGGAGACTCCTGACAGAGTAGATGGGAGGCTGTGGGCGGTGGTCTGGGAAAGAGATCTTGAAAACCTGAGCTAGGAGAGTGACAGGGGTGCTCAGAGGAACACGGGTAGGGTAAAGCAATGTTGAGGATGCCAAACAGGGGGTATTTAGTGATTAACTGAGAGATCAAGAGGATGATGAGTTCCTATTTCCAGAATAGATGGCAGGTTGAATGGCAGGGAATAAAGAGAAAATGAGTTTTGTTTTGGAGATGCTGAGTTTAAGAGACCTGTAGAATGGCAAAGGTGTAGCTGGCAAATGGTTTTAGGTCTCTGAAATGCAGGGCAGCACTTGGGTTGGAAAGAATAGATTTGGAAGTTGTCATCCTGTGGCCAGAATGATCCAGTGGCACTGCTTCACCGGCTTGGGGTCATAGTGTGGGGATAATAAAGGCCCTAATGTGAACAAGCAGAGGGGGTAAGCCACTTGCATTTGGAAGAGCCTCAAAAGACAGGCAGGAGAGTGGGAAAGCTTAAGTGAAAAATGCAAAGGCTTCAGGTGTGCCCTGATTGGAGGCGGTTGGGCTGGGGAAGCCAAAGTGGGGCTAGCTAGAGGGGGCCATACTCTGTGATGGGTTTAGGTTATATATTTGACTTTCTCTGGTTGGTCTTGAGTGGGGAGGGTAAGAAGTAAGGAGGCTGGCAGTCACTGACCACATAAGTGTGGTTTGGCTTCCCAGGCTGGTTGCTGGGAGCTTATGGGTCCAAGTTCTCTTGTCTTACGTGGTCTGGCCATTGTTGGTACATTCGGTCTCTCACAAAGTACTCTCATTTTTAAATACTGAAATTAATTGCTCAGGACTTTAGGAGGCTTGCTAGTACTTTATTTTACAGCTTCCTCCCATTCCATTCACAATCATCTAAGAATCTCAGAGTACTCAGCTCAAAGAGGTGAGTCCTGCTCTCACATGCCTCTTGGAGGAATGGCTCTCAGCCCTCACATTCGAAGTCACCTGTGGATCTTTTAAAGTTCCATAGTCTGAGGACTCACCTCAGGCCAAATACGTCAGAACCTCTGGGGTGGGGCTGGCGTCAGTACTATTGAAAGTTCCCCAGTGATTCCAGTCTGCATGCACAGTTAAGATGCACTGTCTAGCCTTAGCTGGTTTGGTTCAGTGGATAGAGCATCAGCCTGCGGACCAAAGGATCCCAGGTTTGATTCTGGTCAAGGGCACATGTGTTGGTTGCAGGCTCCTCCTAGCTCTGTCTTTCCCTGTCTCTTTTACTCTTCTAAAAAATTAATGGGAAAATATTCTCAGGTGAGGATTAACAAAAAAAAAAAAAAGGAAGAAAAGAACTGGTCTCCCTGCCTCCAGGCCCAGGCCTCTCTGGGCTGTCCCCAGAGTACTTCTGAACTGGTCTTCAAAGACCCTCCCTCCTGTATTTATAAACCTCTGTTGGCACCTCATTTCAGAATATAATCCAAGAGTTTCACATCCTGATGCACCTTTGCTAACTTGCCCTTCACCCCTGCCCGCACCCCACCTCCTAGACTTCCGTCCTCTGGACATGATGGGATCCATGTCATGGTACTGCCCCTGGACTGCACCCCCGACCCCTGTAATGTGAGCAGATGCACCAACACCCTTTCAAAGCTGCCTCTTGTTCAGCCTTTCCCCAGTCAGTTCCCTGTTCTGTCCTCTGTTCTCACAGTTCTCAGACACACAACCAGAACCGTACAGGCCGTTCTGCAGTGTAAAGTTTCTCTGTACCCACGCCTCTCTGCTGCACCAGGCTGTCCCCACTGTGGTCAGAGACGGTGTCAAATTCGCATCCACTATCTAGAACCAGGGTAGTCCTATCCACAAAGCACTCAGAAAATACTGCTCATTAGATGAATGAATGAAAGAGCAAAGGGGACATCACCCCAACTGCACTTTTCATGAATAACTTTTAATATATTTTACCTTTCTCTATCAGCTTGCCTGGTATTGATTGAACTGGACTCTGATGAAATAAATATTGCTAAATTTTAACAAGTTAATGAGGTTAATCTCTCTTTATTTTCTCCTTGAGTTGATCCAAAAGAACAGTTGTTGTTTTTTAAAAAGTTCACCATTAAAAAATGTCTTTCAGTAAAATTTTATTTTCAGTAAAAACATTATCTGCAGTAAAATTATATCCTTTATATTTAATTATGCATTCTCTCTCCACCACCTTTGTTTTTCCCCTCTTTTCTTTCCTTTACTACTCAGTTATCTCCTAATAAGAAGACTTTTTTTTCTTGACTTTTTCATTACAGAGTTCTTCGGGGAACATCTCATTGTACTGTTGCAACCTTTTTGACCTTCCCAGGTAGGACTGAATACTACCTCTGCACTTTTGGAAACCTCAGTACTTGCTGGCCGTGCTGGGGTGGGGGCAAGTCTTTCCTCTCCCCATCCACTGGTAGTAGCACTCACAAAGCATTGGTTTGAGTCTGTTCTGCAGTTATTTTTATCGTAGGCTACACTGACAAAAAATCAGTGAGGCCAGCAGTCATTGAACACGTCCTACCTCCCCAATATTTTTGCTCTTGGATAGCTTCCAAACTATGGAAAACATTGTCATGACCCTAGACAAGTAAGTAAAAGGAAGGGAAAGCAAGACAGGTGTCACCTTCATACCTAGGTCTGTAACACCAGCTGAAGTACCAGCATGCACCATGGGAATCACTGTTCGATGTGTTAAAGATTTGATGTTTCTTATATAAAATGTTGTAATTTTTTTTCTTTTTTTCTGATAGAGCAAATATTGGCAAATTTGACAGGATTTGGGATAGAGGAGCATTCGTTGCTATTAACCCAGGTGATCGTAAACGGTTAGTAATTTGGTTTCTTTAATTATGTTGGCTTTTCATTTCTTTCTTCCTTTCTTCCTTTCTTTACTTTTTTATTTCTTGCCTTCTTAATTTAGTATGCTGTGCTTTTTCTGGATTCTAGACAATTAGCTAGGCTTTTACTGGTTTAAAGTAGCATTTTGTATTTGAAATTAGAAGACCTAAATCCAACACCATTTTTGTCTAAAAAGTGTAGGATTTGGCCATAGGGACCTGGGTGCAAGGCTTGTGACTGTCATTTCCAAGCTGTGTTGCCTTGATCAAAGTACCCACCTTCTCTAAGTCTCAGTTTACTCCTCTGCAAAATTGTGATATTTCTACTAGTGCCACCATCACCACCTCCGCTAACATACCAGGTGACACTTGTCATACATTTGCCATGTGCCAGACATTGTTTTAAATACTTTATGTGCATCAACACATTTCACCCACAAAACAACCCTGTGAGGTATATGCTCTCATTATTCCTGAAACTGAACCCAAGTTCAGCCGCCTGCCACTACAAAAGCCAAACTGGTGAGATAGGTGCTGGTGAGAGGTAAGTGGTTTATTCAAGTGCCGGTGACTCAAGAAGATGTTTCTTTGTTACTAATGTTGTGGGCCCCACCCCATAACAAAGCAACAGATTTCCGGAGGATGAGGACCAGAAATCAGGATTTTAAAAAGATTCCCAGGTGATTCTAATGTGCAGCCAAGGTTGAGAACCACTGCCCTACAGCATACCATGTCCCACAGTAAACCTACAGAATCAGTCTGTGGGGATGGAGCTCAAGCGTCTTTTTTTTTTTTTTTTTTGAGCAAGCGCCCAGGTGATTTTGGGATCTGCCTGGGAAGAGGTGTCACTGCCCCAGAGCACACGGTGGCCCTTTGGGAAGAATGTGTTCAAAGTGGCCAGACCCCTGGGTACATCGGGGTGGAAGTGGTCTCCGCTGTCTCGTTGTGAAGTCTTCTGGTCTGAGCGGCTCTGGAAGCAGCCTCATTTTCACTCCCATCTTTGCTATTTCCCAGTTTAGGCTGATGACATAATTTGTGGAACCAATTTCTGACTTTTAGAATGAGAATCGGCTTCACAGGATTGTTAGAAGAAATAAGCTCAGTGATGTAGGTGAAAGTAAAGGCTGCCTTCCCTCCCTGCCAGGCTTTGCCTTTGTAGAGAATTCTAACACGTACTTTTTTGTGCGCTTTTGTTTGTTTTAGCTATGCAGATATAATGCTGTCCCTAATGAGAAAAGGGTTCCAGTACCTCTTGAGTGTTTTTTCTTATGATCCAACTAAATATGGAGGTAAAGTCTTTTTGTTTTCCTAATTGCCTCATTTCCTGATTTAATTCTATGACATGAATAGCATTAATTTTCTCCCAATTTATCCCATAGGAAGTATAGTGTTTATACACATACACGAAGATAAGTCTAGTTTTGGCCAATGAAAGCTATAAACTTTTTCTATCTTCCCACTGGGTACATATTTTTCTCATATTCCATTCCCATTTTGTTCATTCACAGCTCAAACTATGAAAGAGAGGGAGAAATGGATGGCTCTAATGTAAAAGAGAAATCTCATGATTAGGAGGAAGAGAGATTTGTTTGCTTTGCTATAGATAAAGCATATCTATGTCATCCGTGGTGATGGGGATGCTCTGGGCAGATGCCTATGGCTGCACACACACAAACACCCTCATAGGAGGGCAGTGTCAAAAGTGGATATGTTGAGGTAGGAGGTGTGCGAGAAAAGCTCTAAACTATTGCTGTTTTTTAATTTATGAAATTTTACAATTTATTGATTGCATTTTTTTTATAACTATCTTTGTTTTGAATTTGTAAAAGTGCTGTGTGTTTTTTCTGGACCCATTTTGATGCGTTTGAACATTGAAGCTTAACTTTTGTCATCGCTGAACTTTGTCTTCAGGAAGATTTGAAAACCAGCTATGTAGACTTTTCATTTCTCAAAATTCCCTTTTTGATGTTTAGTTGTGCTTTTTAAAAAGTACTCTGTTTTAGAAACATTTACAAATGTTAGTGTTTTATTTTCTCTTTGAATCATCCTAAAAACTCATTAAAAGATGAGACCCGTTGTTCTTAATGAAATCTGGGACAATTCGATGGAAATAGAAATTAATGGGGACAGATATCAGCTCTGCTAATCTGATTTCAATTTCATTCCTGAACAGCAGGCTTAGGGAGTGGCCTATGGGAAGAAAACACAGCAAGCAAAGCCTGATGGTGGAGCTCAGGAGAGAGAGCTCTAGAGAGGGCCAGAAGCTACGTTTCCTTTAACGTTAATGGCCCTCAGCAAAGTGGGAAGGGTGTATAGAATAAAGAGGAGTGCAGGAGCAGTAGAAAATCAATATCCCAAGACGATGAAGGAAACCCTGGGGAATTTGTTAATGAACTCTGGTATGATTTCAGTGTTCCCAAGTCCCATGGCTGGCTCAGCCACCTCATCTCTGCTGGAGATGGGACCCACCTCAGAAAGCCAGGCTTTGGTATGAGCTGGTAGAAAAAAAAGCAGCAGAACCTGTCACACGCTCGCCTATTTGGCTAATCAAGTTGTATGTAGAATAAGTGTACCTGGGTTGTGGGAAATAAGCTGAGAAGTGGATCCTGAGAATTTATTTCTCTTTAGAATGAGATCTAACCATGTTTTTCTTTTACCTAGGACCACCATTTTATGTAACAGATGATGAAATTAAAAGACTATTTGGTAAGTTATGAATGTATGCTGTAACTTTTTAAATAAAGTCAACAGTTAGCTGTTCTGAGCTATTATCAAACTATTATTACCTAGAAGTACAAAATTTAAAGGTCTGAAACCATTTTATTGAAGACGATTTTGTCCTAGAAAAGGAGAGATCTCTGTAATATGCTTTTTTTTTTTTTTTTGTAATATGCCTTTTTAGCTAAGTGGTATGCTTATGTTGTAGACATTTGAATTCTTCCAGAGAGATGGTATGTTTAGTTTGGCTCTTAGGAGTTGTAAGTGATAACAATTTAGAGTTCAGAATTTGCCTTAGTAATTCCCAATTTTCATTAGAAAAAAAGAGAAAAATCTTCAGTACACAATTTTTAAAATCATTTGATGTGTTTTCAGAAGAATCCCTGATTGCATTCTTCTTAAAGGTTTAACTTGTTACCCTTTCTTCTTGTTTCAGGTTCAGTGTGCACTTGTCAGTGTCTTGAGAAAGTAGATGCATTTGAAGAACGACATAAAAGTTGGGGAGTTGATTACCTTGTTGAAAAGTTATATCTACTTACAGAAAAGTAAATGAGACATAAATAAACGCAAGTAACATCAAGTTTTAGAGCAATTGAAAATTATGCTAAGGCATGAAAATACAATGGATGACCTTTGAAAAAATTGTTCACAAATTACATCACAGTAATGTGTGTAACATTTTAGAAAAAACAATAACAACAATCACATACTAAAATGTTAAAGTAGCTACCTTTGGAAAGGAGAGTATGATTGAGGAGCGGGGGTGAAAGATTATACCTGGGTGTTTTACTTACAAATTGAAGGCTTTTTTTAACAATCACCATGTTTTACCTCTATAATTAAAAAATAAAGAGAAATGCAATGCATACAGCTTAAATATAGTTGACATAGAAAAATTGTTATTCTTTATGAAATTTAGAACCATTGGGGAAATGTAACACTTTAATAGGGTTTAATGTAAAAGAAAGTGGTCTCAGAAATTACATAAAATATTAGCTTTTCCTATAAACCTTCATATTATTATCCTAGCACTGCTCTTCACATTTTTCTCTTTATATAATTTTATATGTAACAGAATCAAGAAAATGCCTTAAATTAATTAAATAAACCAATCGTATGCAACAAAATATTGTTCCTCTGTTCTCTTTGCTGGCTAGAGTTAATGTCTATACCTTGCACCCAAATTTATTTTAAAAATATATTTTTTAAAAAAGTTTTTTCTGAGTTTGGCAGTTTTTGGTTTCTTTTAATTTAATCTTTTTAAAATTACAGTCTAATGAAGTGCAGTGTACTTAGGGCTGGATTCAGGACTACTCATTATAAACGTTTAGATTTGATATTTCTCAGTGTTTCATTAACAATCATATTTTGGTAAATCAGACATCCCTCTCAAACCGCACTACCTAGTACCTAATTGATTTAGATTGTTTGGTTCATGTTAATAGGATGGCTTATTATTAAGAAACTAGAGGCCCATTGCACAAAATTCATGCATTTGTGCAAGAATAGGCCTTCGCAGCCCCGGCTGCCTCGGCCCTCACAGCCCCGGCTTCATCCGAAAGGTCGTCCAGAAGGTCATCCAGACAGTTGTTCCACTATTCGGGTTCAGTTGATTTGCATATTACCCTTTTATTATTATAGACTAGAGGTCCGGTGCACGTGATTCATGCACTGGTGGGGGGTGTGGCCTGCGGGGATCGGCCTGCTGTGAGAGCACTGCCATTCAGCCGAATGGCTGTGGACCCGCCCTCTGAGTGGCTGCTCCCTGGTCCGGCATCTTCCATGGAGCTGGAGTGCTAGCCTCTCCAGGGGACCTGTTTGGGGCCAGGCCCAGGCACAATAGCACTGAGAGGACCTGCAGCAGCCATGAACCCGCCTCCCAGCCTCCATGGTCAGCGCTGTGAGCCCGGTGGCAGCGGCGCTGCGTGGCCTGTGGGCGTCCAGAGGAGGTGGCAGGGAGCGAGAAGGAGGAGCATGGGGCAAGGAGGCAACGATCGCAGCCCGGGTTCCTGCCCATTGGCCCGGGGTTCGTAGCGGGAGCAGCCTCTCATCCCAGTGAGCCAAGCGGCATTCCCACTGTGGTAGTGCATTGACCACCAGGGGCAGCTCCTGTGTTGAGCATCTGCCCCCTGGTGGTCAGTACATGTCATAGCGACTGGTCGACCAGTTGTTCTGGTCGTTCCACCATTCAGTCGCTGGGCTCTTATATATAGGACTACAGACCCAATGCACAAAGATGCGTGCAAGAATGGGCCTTCCTTCCCCTGGCTGCCGGCACCACCTTCACTCTGGCCGGAGCCGCCTTTGCACCTTGGCTCCAGCCCAGAGCTGCCTTTTTGCCTTCCCATGCTGCCCAAAGGCCTGGAGCAAGCTTGGGGGGTTGGGGGGGATATCTGTGTCGTTGCCATGGCGACGCAAGCATCCTGCCCCGCCCCCGACCACTCGGTGCCTGCATATGCAAGTTAGCCCGCCATCTTTGTTGTGTTAATTTGCGTACTCATTCCTGATTGGCTGGTGGGCATCACGAAGGTATGGTCAATTTGTATCTTGCTGTTTTATTAGTATATATAAGTTAACTGTGTACGTGTATGTTGGCTGGTTTAAAGGGGGAAGTTTATAGACCCCTTGAATACTGATGAAAGTTATAGGTACTCTCCTTAGAAATATGTTGTAAGCAGGATACTGTGAAAACTTCCTTAGGGTTCAGAGTTGTTGACTTCCCTGCCTTTTCTGCCCCCATTTAGGAACTGCTGCCCTAGATACTCTCTGGCACTGGTCTTATTCTAATACACTTATAAGTCTATTAATTTGGAGTGTCTTCTAGCTCATAATGGTTCTCACTTCTCTGAAACCTGTCCCCAGTTCATGGTGTGGGCTTCCAGAAGCCATGACCACCTGACTCTGCCTTTTGAATAGACCAAGAAGGGACTGCTGACCTGAGTTGGGCCAATCAGATTCTCTTCAGAGATTTTTAGAATTGGGTTGAGAAAAGCAAATTAGCCACTTAGAGGGGGTGAAACTAGCAGGTGCCCCCAGCAGCAGTGAGGCAGCCACTTTGTCCTCTAAAGATGGGAGGAAAAGAGAAAGCTGTCTGCAGAAAGAAGCAGAGACGAGAACTGGAGAGAGTCCTGGGTAGTTTCAGTTTCTGTTTTCATTCTTCCTGAAGCCCAGCAGCTCTGTGGGGGAGAAAAGTGTGTGTCGCTGTGATAGAGATCTACTCTCTTTGCTGGCTAGAGTTAGTGTCTGTAACTTGCACCCAAAGATCCTTAAAAAATACAAAAGATATGTCCTTATGTAGTTGATCTTTTACATATTTTATGTCCTCATTGGGGGAATACTGACCTTTGTAAAGTCTCAAGATGGATGATATACTACATATAAATTATTTTAGAGCAATTGTATCATGTTCAGAATTTTCTAGAAATAACTTTTATTCAGCTTTGTAATTTAAATAGCAGATCCCCTGAGCCTATGGGCCCTGACTCAGTGATTTATGAAAGGCCCTGCACTGCCTAAACACCAGACATGAAGGCACTAGCATATGTACACTCTTAATGCTGTTAATGGTCAGTACACATCTCCAGCTCATCAGTCACACAACTTCAGGAGGCACAGAGAACCCCAAGCAAGAAGAACCCAAACAGGCCCACGCCCAGACACATCCTAAATACAATGCCAACAATTAAAAGACAAAGACAGAATCTTAAAGGCAGCAAGAGAAAAGCAAACTGTTGCCTACAAAGGAGTGCTCATAAGGCTGACACCTGATTTCTCACTAGAAACTCTACAGGCCAAAAGGGAATGGCATGAAGTACTCAAAATAATGGAAAGCAAGGATCTGAGACCAAGATTACTCTATCCAGCAAAGCTATCATTCAAAATAGATAGTTAAATAAAGAGCTTCCAGACAAAAAAAAAAAAGAAAAAAGCTAAAGGAGTTCATCACTACCAAGCCAGCATTACAAGAAATGGTAAAGGGACTGCTGTAATAAGAAGAAGAAAGAGAGAGAGAAACCTATGAATACAGAATTAAAATGGCAATAATAATAATAATAATAATAATAATAAAACAAAAGCAGCCAGTCCTGTCACCAGAGATGATTACTGCTAAACTGATGCTGTGTTTTCTTATCCTTTTTTTGTCTGCTCATGCAAGTGCATGTTTTTGCTAAGTTGACATCATATTATGGATACAGTATTGTCTCTCTACTATCTTCTCTATTATTTCATCAGTCCTTTCTCATGTCACTATTTTTTAGAAATTATATATATACTAGAGGCACGGTGCACAAAAATTTGTGCACTCGGGGGAAGGGGGCCGTCCCTCAGCCCGGCCTGTGCCCTCTCACAGTCTGGGACCCCTCGGGAGATAATGACCTGCTGGCTTAGGCCTGCTCCCGGGTGGCAGAGGGCAGGCCCAATCCCTAGGTGCAGCCCCTG